TTTGGCTAGTAGGTTTTCATAAGCATCATTCATTTTATACTTCAAATTCTCAAGCTACACTTTCCCTATGGAAAGATAAATACAAGGAAAGATAAATACAAAAACCAAATGGAAAAATATATTTCCCTTAAATAACTGCCACAAGGGAAGCAGTTTTAAGACTGTTGCAAAATAATAATAATAATAATAAATAAAAATAAAAATAAATCAAGTCTTGCTACACCTTAAAGACTTACACATTTATGATGTATTAGGTATCATGGATTAGTTTACTTGTATCTGATGAAGTGGAATTTAGTCTGTAAAACCTTATGCCATCATGGCCAGAATCTTGTTGGGAACTGCCTCAAGTTAGTCTCTCAGGGTAGTGGGACACACAGCAAGATCTCTGTTAAAAATGTAATATTCTGGGCAGGGTCATGAGGGAGGAGGTGGTTGTTCAAATATCTGGCCCCAAGCCATTAGGGTTCTGTAGGTCAAAAACATCACCTTGAATTGAGATCAGAACCAAACTGCAAGCCAATGCTGTTGGTACAAGACTGATGAAATGTAATTTCACAAGCAGATCACAATATTCTGGCTACTTCATTTTGCACTAACTGTAGCTTCCAAAAACTTTTCAAGGGCAACCCTATGTACAAAGCATTACAGTAGTCTAACCAGAAGGTAATTAACACCTGTTAATCCTCATTCCCTGGAAAAAGCAAAGCTGTTGCGCTAAGCAAACCTGGGCAGAGATATTTGTGGCCACAGCTATCACATACCCTTCAAGGTATGATATTGATAAGCAATCACTAATATATCCAAGAAAGAAAGAAAGAAAGAAAGATCACTGGTGAATATTACCAGCTCTTAAACAGAATACTCTGGATGTCCATCCTAAATATTAATGCCTTTCTTATTATCTTGAACTGCCACTGCTGGGACTAGACCAGAAAAAAGAAAATGCACTACAGTGGGCCCTTGTTATCCACTGGGGTGTGGTTCCAGGACCCCCCACAGATAACAAAATCTGTGGATGCTCAAGTCCCATTAAATACAATGGCATGGTAAAATGGTGTCCCTTATATAAAATGGAAAACCAAGATTTGCTATTTTGAATGTATACTTTTTTGGAATAATTTCAAGCCGTGGATGCTTGAATCCATGGATAAAAAATCCATG